CGTTGTTTCGCGTCGGCATGGTAGGTTTTAATCAAAACTTATGACATTTGAAGGATTTATTTGATATTCTAGTGCTCTATAGTGAGACTAGTTCGGGATTAAAGTCGCTTCAAAGTTGTAAACATGGCCCTTTTTGATATCAATACTGCAACATGGAATCCGATCTTTGGGAGGAGCGTGTAAAGGTTACATCCTCCCTTTCATCTTGGAAATACTTCTACGCCATATAGTTTGGAAATTATGTAAAATTCCCTCTAATACTGTTATATCGGTAGATAATTGTTAGCTCTCGGCTACTGTCGACCCATTCGACCCTTCTCTGGCATTATAAATAAGTGTGGTAGGGGTTTTCGTACCCTTTCAAGAAATCTTATGTCATTTGTGGTCAATTCAAACTTGACGACACGAATCGGGGGACCTTCACTTGAACGATGTGATTCTTTTTCAATCTCGTCCTGTAGATCTGTTGTTCGAAGCTTATCTTTATACCAAATTATTATTAGATTGTCTGATTATTATATATTATAATATGGTTGTCCTTCCATTTTGTCTGACTGGCTTGTTACCGGTCCCATTCCAGCAGCACAAGTTCGAACTTTCACAACTACTATTGAAGTTGCAGAGAAGACAAACTTGAGAAAACTCATAAAAATCCTTCCCCGGTGCCGGACAGGCTAACGCAAACCGAAATTTTCTAAATTTTAAACTTTTTGTAAGTAGTCCACTCATCAAACGGTCATACTCCCTATAGGGATTATGTCCCTAGTCTGCATTTTGTTGAAAAACCCTCTTTCCGTCAATCCATGGCTGCAGTCCGCCCAGATTAATTGTTCTATTTATGAATGACTGCATTCACAAATACTGACGTGGACTTCGCAGTTCCATTTGATAAAAAATCATACCTAGGTCGGTCTTTTCGTTTCACAAAGGTCTATGTATTCCGTCCATATCAATTGTGGCAGTGGTAACCCATCTGCACCAAGTGCGTACGCCTACAGCTGCCTTGATACTAGTGCCGGAAGTCTATGCCTGTGCCATTACAAATCGGGTGCATGTGACTTCGAAGTTACCCCGATAGCCCACTACCCGATATTTAGGTTGTTGTTGTTGTAGCAGTTTTACACGTTCTGTTGTTTTTTCCGACTAATCTGGTTCTTCCTCAATGTCCAGGTTTAGGAATTCTGCTACCTTTATGGGCTGTAGCCATAGATCCTCTGGACGGAGTTGGGTAGGTTTGGCAGGACAATTAAACAAGTGCAACGTGTTGTGCGGGCCTGTATCACACGCTGGGCAGGCGTTCCGCACATCCTCATCAATTCGTGCCCAATACGAATTGAGACGGCTGCACCATCCTGAACGTAGTTGGGCCAAAAATACCGCATTTGGCAGGTCTGAATACATTTCCACTGCGTTGCACTTGCATTCGCCGACCACACTGGAGCCGCATAGCTAACCGGTCTGTGGTTAGCTTTATAAGAGGTCAACAAGGTTTCCTTATCCGCACCCCAAGTGCTGCCGGCTAGCGCCTTGAGGACCTTGTTCCTACTTTTCATTTTATCGCAAATAGCTGTGGCTTGCGCGGAAGACTTGAACATGCTATCGAATGTGACCCCAAGGATTTTGGGGTAGTTGGTGGTCGGAATTATATGCCCCTCGACCTGCACATTCAGCTGTGTTCTCATCTCCGCAGTCCATGTGGTAAATAGTGTGGCCGTCGATTTAGTGGCGGATATTTTCATATTCCTCGCGTGGAAGAAGGCGGCAAGCTCCGCGAGATAGTTATTCACCCTGACACATATGTCATCAACTACAGCACCCGACGCCATGATCGTACAATCATCCGCATAAGTTACGATCTCGATGCCGTCTGCAGGGCGCGGAATTCCGGAAAGGTAGAGGTTAAACAGTTCCGGAGATATCACCCCACCTTGGGAACTCCCTGTTTCACTCTACGAGGCTTGGAATTCTTATTCCGAAATTCCACGTACGACTGGCGTCCACACATATAGTTCACTATCCAACGTTTCAAACTTGGCCGGAGGGTAGTGTTCTCAACGTCCTCGAACAGCGTGGCATGGTTGACCGTATCAAAGGCCTTTGATAGGTCGTGAGCCACCACTACTGTTCTGTGGCACGGCCTGTTCTGGTTGAGTCCTCGACTGATATGTGTGGATATGGCGTGCAATGCTGTTGTAGTGCTATGTAGTGGGCGGAAACCGTGTTGATGGTTAGCAACTGAATAGCTTCCTCTAATACTGGGGAGGAGTAAGGCCTCGAGAGTCTTTGCTACTGGCGACAAAAGCGAAATTGGCCTGTATGATTCGCCTTTGCTGGCATCCTTGCCAGGCTTCAGTAGCGGGACCACCCTGCCCATTTTCCAGGCTTCGGGAACTATGTGGGTGGCTAACGACAAGTTAAGGACTTTGGTTAAATACTCAACTCCCGGCGTATCCAGTTGCTTCAACATTACCATTGATATTCCGTCCGGGCCCAACGCTTTAGATGACTTAGCGTTTCGGATGACATTCGCAACATCACCCATCGTAAACTGTGGAGGTACATCCTCGGCGGGAAGAGCTCTAATAAGACGTAGTACTCTTCGCCTCGCCCTATCACTCTCGGGGTGCTCGACAAATTGGCGGTTAAAACAGGCAGCGCACCTCTTCGGATCAGTCACAGTTACGTCGTTAAATGTGTCTGCTGTCCTATCATCCTTTTTTCCAGGGTTCGAGAGTGACTTTACCGTTACCCACAGTTTACTCAAATCGGTTCCAATGTTGCAACACTTCAGATGGTCTAGCCACTTTTTCCGCTTATGCTCCTGTACCAACCGGTTGACTTCCACTGTCAGTTCACTGACTCTGGGATCAGTAGGGTTGGTACGTCGGAGCTCATCACGCTCATTCGCTAATCCCGCTGCCTCTGCTGGGAAATTTGGTCTTACTTCGGGTATTCGACCAGCAGGTATATAGCGAGCGGCTGCATGATGTCCCGGAAAATCCTTTCAGCTACCCGAACATCAGAAGGATTGGGCAGTTCTCTGAAGCGAAGGTTGGTGAACTCTCTGAACTCGGGCCAGTGGGCTTTCCCATGGTTAAGGAAAGTGCGGCGTTCAGAGGTTATGAAATCGGGCGATCTGCTGATGGAGACGATTATCGGGAGATGGTCTGAGCCAAGAGAAATGACGGGTTGCCAAATCACGTCATTTATCAGACCGGGTGACACGATGGTTAAATCTGGCGAACTGTGACACTCTCCTCTTATTCGGGTGGGGGCATCCTCGTTTACCGTGCAAAATGTGGAGCAGTCAATCCGGCGGGATATACACATTAAGCACCTCTACCTCGGCAGTACCACACTTGACTGCTACCCCCATACACTCCATGTACGGGTCACTAGAGACTAGCTCAAGCGAGATAGGTCTGTATTGAACAGAATGGTGTATCAGGAACGCTAATCCCCCACCTCCACTTCTGGTGCGATCTTTCCTCAATACGTTGTAACCATTGCAACGTTGTAAGCTACAATTTTCATTGAGCTTGGTTTCCTGCACCGCTGCGATCTTAATATTCCTCCGATTCATAAAATCCACTATCTCATCAATTTTACCTCGGAGTCCGTTGCAATTGAACTGCAAGAACGATGCATTGTCCGGAATTGGAACAGCAACACGTGGCGTTAAGTGCTGCGGTAAAGGTTGCTGTTCTGGAGACTGCGGGGGAGTTCCATACTCCGACGACGACTCGGAAGTTGACGACGAGGTCGTGGACTCACTGGGGACTACGTTTGTGCAGCACGAAGCAACATAGTCCCTATCGCTATAGTCTCGCAACCGGGTTAAACCGGAACAATTTCTAAAATGCACCCATCCTCCGCATCCATTACATCGCACCGAGACTGATCTATGGTGGATGGTGTTTTGGCAAACCGTACAGAACCATGGTCCGGGGTTTTCCTCAAGCCCGGCACGGACCAAAAGAATCCGGAGCAAGCATTCCGGGATGTGCTGCTCCCAAAACAGAAAAATAAACAAACACGAACATGTATTCACTGGGTTGGCAGCCGCTGGCCGAAACTGGAGTGTTGTTGTTTCGGGTCAATCCGGTGTCGTAGAACCCGCTGCCGTGGGATGGGTATAATCGGTTATATGAAACATATAGTATTACGTAATACCTTTTTTGATGAGATTGTAATTATACCCAAGCAATATATCGCTGCGCAATTTAAGACTGTTCGTCTCCTGGTAACAATTTGTCAGATTTGTGGGGGTGATTGTGCAGAATGAATATGTGAAATATGGATACGTCTTCATTCACTTCTTTCTACACATTCCTCTTGCGCTTGAGAATCACGCCCATTCTGACTAATTATTGCTCGTCATCCAACGTTTGACCGTCTAATAGAAGCTAGAAGTCCAGCAGATAACTTTCATAAAACCATAAAGATGGCTTAATTATCCATATTCAAAAGGCTACCCTTTACCAGAAAAAAAGAATATACATAGGGAATGAATATTTCGAAATGAATGTCTGCAACTCAATTGGATAATCTCAATCTCAATGACAGAAAAAGAAAAATGTCACATTTAATCAAAATATAACATTGAAAGAGGACTAAAGAATAAAGCAGATGGTGAATCGAAATAATTATACACAATTTTTTAATACAATCATATCAATTCGAATATTGTAGTATAGCTTGCTAACTTGTCCCACTTTTGCATTTATATACAAGTAATCTTAGAACGTTTTCTTGTCGTTGATAAACCGGAAGGATGACGAGAAATAAATTGTGTTCAGAAAATAATTATCACACTCAAAGTTCCCAATTTTATTGGACGCATTAAGAAGATATGCTAAAAGAAATGTACACTAGACATTCAATAACCTTTCCTTTGATCCATTTTTTTAACACTGACATAACATTGATTAAAATTATAAATTAAAGTCAATATTTAGACCATTTTTATTGAATTCTAGAATAATGAAATTAATAATTACCTGAACACACATGTTAGCGTGACACATAAGTCTACCGTTTTCAAACCGCCAGGTCTGTGTTGTCACTCTTTGAATATTCTGTGGTCTAACAACCAGCTTAGTGTATTCTGTTGGGTTGGGAGGCTTTTCAAGATCTAAGACAAGCCGTGGGGACGTATGTGAAGATTTGAGATATTCACTTGGTGGCGACGAGCCTTCATGTTCAAGTTGACCGAACGAATTCATTAACCATAGTTGCGAACGATCTCCGGCACATTTTCTTGTAATAATCACTCGTTTATCCTTAACACCAAGTACAAGTTGTTGCCCTTCAATACCAACTTGTGTGTCATCACAATCTGATATAACAAGGCGAAATGTTTCCTTAAATGCAATGTAGATGAAATTGGCATATGTTATACTTTTGGCAACATCCATTTTATTTAAAGGATAATCGATGGAGTTGCCACCTGGGGCTTCAATGCGTAAAATGTGTGGTGCTAATGGGTCATCCATAACATATGCCAAAGAAGACAACGGTTTTACACAAGTTCGCCAAAATGGATCCACGTCTTTTTGGTAAAAATGAATGTTCACTTCAGAGTAATTATCAATTCGTATAGGTGGTGGTAAAGTGTGCGCGTCGGTAAAATGTAAAATATACGTGCCGCCATGCAAAATAACTTCCAATCGAAGAAAAATCATTTCTCCAATGTCATTTCTTAGGTTAATGTATAAACTCTTTGTCTCATTAACAGGTAAGCCTTTAGACCAATGACAATAATCATTATCCGCTACCCGCACGCACAGTAGCGGTTCATGTTCACAATTAGTCCAGTGAAATGGGAAATTGCTACCCGGAAGAGCGGAAATAAGACTCTTTGGTGTATTTGTCATCTGAAAATAAAAAATAATTGCAACATAGTTTAATGATTATAAATAATACTGACACTGAAAAACAAAAATACAACAACATATATCAGAATTTAAATGAGTTGTAGCAATTACTAGTAATAGTAATTTTCTGATTTATTAATATACAAAACTCGAGAGCCTATCGTTAGTATCAGCGTTAAAAATAGAAGACATTCTACTGAGTAAAGACATTTGGTGTAATGTTTATTGGATAGTGTTGTCGTTTATGTGTTGGGATACCGTAGTTATATTGTTGATGCAAAGTAGGCGAGTTCACCCCATTACTGTTGTTTTTATAAAGATAATGTTTATTTAAAAGTGTTTAGCAGTGAGTACGGCAGGTTATACCTAACGCCGGAAAGAGCCACCAATCCTTATAAATTCCCTTGGTTTTTCGTCTAAGGATATTCTGCCCAGGAGTTATTTAGTGGCGATGGGAAACTCAATAGAAAAGAAACGAAAATAGGTACAAAGTCGAAGATATTATTAAATAATGTAAACGGATGATTGCACAAAGTTACTATGATAATTCTACCATCCTTTTAATAGACCATAGATACAAATATTTCTAAACTCGTATTGATTTAAAATTCTTTAAATAGAAATGTCTCAATATTGAAGTTATCTCCATAAATTATCAATATATTAATTCTGTCTTATTATGATAACAAAAAAAAAAAAATAAGTTTGGGAAGTAAGGTTAATATATAAGCAGATGAATTTGAAAATGTGTTCTAAGTGTAAGAACAGTACTAAATGGTAATAAATTGGGAAAAACCTGGTTTAGGTGAACGAATATATGGTAAACGAATCTGAAATGTAGGCATTGGGGTCACTGCTGGTGGGTATGGCTAAAACAAAGACGTAGTACTAAATTATACCAAATGTTAGTATTGGGTGATCGGATAGTGATTGAATTCTGCAATTTGGTCTTAAGGTCACTGTTTATGCGTAGTGTTTAGTTTGGAAGATAGTTTTAGAAATAAGAACTAAAAAATACAAAAAAATATTTATTGTTATTTAAATTTGTATTTGGAGTAGGCATAGGGTTTAAAACTCTAAAATTATATATTAGGATCACTTTTTGTATACGTAGTATTTGCAGGTATCGTTATATTGAACTCACGTCAAAATTCGATAATAAAATTTCGCAGTGTGAATGTTAAAACAGCTTACTCAACACATATCTGATTAAGAAAATATACCATCCGGGTATGAATTGTTCATGATTTCAAATAAATTAATATACTCCTATCGTATGGAGGATATAGAAGTGGGTTAGATCTGTACTACCATCGATCAAATCCTTAACATGGTAAAACGTGCACTCAATTCTTGATCAAGGTGTTTTATTTATGAAAATTATTAATTATATAATTAGGTATATATGGCTGGAAAATGTATTTAGGACCTTTCAAGCCCTAAAATTGCCTCCATAAATAAGTATTGTTGATCATAACATTGTTGTTATGTCCCTGTGTTTCTCCGCCCACCAATTGAGATCATGATAGAGGTTGCCATATTCAATATGTGTCTTTGAAACTGAGCAAAAAACTGCACACACTCTTATATACTAAATCTAGGATGATTGAAATTTTCTAACTTTCGTAGTTTTAAGATTTAAGGTATTTTGAAGGTTTCAATAGAATTTTCAAGGATATAAGCCCACACAAAATTTGCAAAAAAAAGTTCACTATCGTCAAAAAGGAAATTAAAACATTCAATTGTATCAAATTTCACACTTACATTACAGTATAGTCAAATCATGCTACTGCCTTAAAGTAATTGTAGTCATGGAACTTGAAAATTTTCATAAAATTCCGAAAAATGAAAATCGTAACACCGAGGCTATACGAAGACGTGGGCCTGTAATTTTTTATCATAGGTTGTAATGTCAATTAAGATCCAAAAATACGAAATTTGAAACAATTCCGGTGAATAACATTAGCTGTAATATTCTTTGTTATTTCATTTTGAAATTTTACATTGCAATATAAACAAAGTCTTAAAAAAGAATACGAAAGTAGAAACTATTTTGATTCTCAGTGATTTTAGTGTTGTTATTTACAAATTGAATTCCAACACAAAGAATAGATATTTGGAAGAACATGTGACGAAATTATTTTAGTACTTGGCAGCGGCCTAGAAAATGCTGTATGTTTTCATTTTCTTGTGTATTGAACATTGAACATCTTGGTTTTGTATTTATTTGACATTAGTGCAGTCACTTCTTGCTTTAAGTATCCACATCAGTTCATCCTGTGTTACATAGTCCGTAAAGAACGATCCGCCAAGAATAGGTTCTATTTTTTTATAGAATCGCTGGGGGTTATTTGCTTGAACTATTATATATCACCCCAGTTTTGAAAGATTCTGGGTGAAATTCGATATGTTTTGTTGCTGAACTAACACATTTTGCCTTAATTTCCAATATATCTAGTACGACATAACTTTTTTCCAGTATTTTTGAAGTCGTTGAAAGTGTAGAGATGACCAATTTCGACACCAGTTTCTAGCATGAGAATGTATGTTGGGGTATAGCTTGTCATTTTTAAACAGAAAAGTGTTAGTTTATCGGCTTCATCGAAATAAGTGAATGCCCATATTTGCGATCCATAAGATCGCAGTGTATTTACTCTCTCCGATTTTTTTATTGTTTAATCACCATTGAGAATAAAAATAAATAATCTGACCAAATTTTATTCTTAAATTAGAAGGAGTGTACTTTTGCCAACACCTCCTGAGATCGCCCATATGCAGAAATTTGAATTCCCCCATTTCGTCTCCTTTTGTCATACCGGTTTATATTACCAAACCATATAATTTCTTCAAGACCTGCGTGGAATGTTTTCATAAAAATATAATTGACTTTCTTTTGCACACATCCAATTCTGACGTTAAAATCGCCCATTATAATTGGTTTTTCGATATCACATACCATTAAAATAGTGTAGACTTTTGATAATTGTTGTTTCCATATAGGGACTCTCATATAAAGAGGTATAATATGAAAATTAAAACCATTTACTTATATATTTATCATATATTGGTCTTTTTGTTGGCCATATGAATGACTGACAAGTTAGTTTTCGGAGGTACTTTTAGTTACCATGTTCTTCAATTTACCTTCTAGAACTGATTCCATTGAACTTCGAATCATTTTCATTAATTCCGATAAGTCAACATTTTCAACTAATTTGACGGATTGTTTTCAGGTGATGTTTCGTTTTTGTAACATTCTGTATGGCTAAGCGCACAAATACTTGCAAAACTTTTAAAAATTTATAAAAACAACAATAAAGGGATAAGCCTGACCATTTTGCAACAACAAAATACTACGGTATCCCGAACAAACAAGCCACACTGTTCTATTTATAGACAAGGCACGGTCGACGAAGGGGTTTTTGTTGTAACAGACAAAACCAACTTACATGGTTATGCTACTTCGTTCAGGTTGAACGAAAGCATAACAAGTGGAGAAAGATGTAAATGTTTATAAGTGCGGTTGTAAGATTTAGAAGACTTTCCAAAAGAATTTTAGTTTTATTTAATTCTTTGGTTCCTCTTCTATTGAGCTTACGATCTCGTCACTTGGGTAAAAAAATGTTTTTTTGTCATAGAAGTTATTTTTAAAATAACTTCTGGGGAGAATATCCCAGACAAAAAACAAGGGAACTGATGAGGATTGGTGGCTCTTTCCGAAACCTAGGTATTCCCTGCCTTACCCCCTGGTAAACATTACCATCGATCTCCACTAATAAACAAACGTTGTTTTTATAAAAACAACAATAAAGGGATAAGCCTGACCATTTTGCAACAACAAAATACTACGGTATCCCGAACAAACAAGCCACACTGTTCTATTTATAGACAAGGCACGGTCGACGAAGGGGTTTTTGTTGTAACAGACAAAACCAACTTACATGGTTATGCTACTTCGTTCAGGTTGAACGAAAGCATAACAAGTGGAGAAAGATGAAAATGTTTATAAGTGCGGTTGTAAGATTTAGAAGACTTTCCAAAAGAGTTTTAGTTTTATTTAATTCTTGGTTCCTCTTCTATTGAGCTTACGATCTCGTCACTTGGGTAAAAAAATGTTTTTTGTCATAGAAGTTATTTTTAAAATAACTTCTGGGGAGAATATCCCAGACAAAAAACAAGGGAACTGATGAGGATTGGTGGCTCCTTCCGAAACCTAGGTATTCCCTGCCTTACCCCCTGGTAAACATTACCATCGTTCTCCACTAATAAACAAACGTTGTTTTTATAAAAACAACAATAAAGGGATAAGCCTGACCATTTTGCAACAACAAAATTTGAAAAATACATTTTAAAACGTCATTTTCGTACAAATTCGGGAACAAAAATATAATTGACTTTCTTTTGCACACATCCAATTCTGACGTTAAAATCGCCCATTATAATTGGTTTTTTCGATATCACATACCATTAAAATAGTGTAGACTTTTGATATTTGTTGTTTCCATATAGGGACTCTCATATAAAGAGGTATAATATGAAAATTAAAACCATTTACTTATATATTTATCATATATTGGTCTTTTTGTTGACCACATAAATGACTGACAAGCGAGTTTTCGGAGGTACTTTTAGTTACCATGTTCTTCAATTCACCTTCTAAAACTGATTCTATTGAACTTCGCATCATTTTCATTAATTCCGATAAGTCAACAATTTCAACAATTTGTTTGTAATAGGCAAAAGGAAACGAGATAGCCCAATAGTTCTTTTTGATGATCTGCATAGAATCACATTCTGAGTCGATTTATGCATGTCCGTCCGTATGTCCATGTATTTTTGTAAACAAAGTACAGTTCGCATTTATTGCATTTTGAAATTAGAGATAATCGGAAAAAATTTAGATATAGGTCCCATGTATATCTTCGTCCGATTTGCCTTTTATTGTGCACGAAACGTGTAATATCAGCCCGAATAGTATGGAATTTTGCACATACAACCAA